GATGCATCACGCTTCCCTTATTACTCGCAATAATTCTAAGTGGCGCTCCATCTTTATGTATTTTGGGCAGACCATATGCATTTATATGCCTAATATCTCGTTGAAGAAGCGTATTCATCCACTTCTCATTTTCCCCTTTTGTTACGCAATGCTGCAGGCAACCTTAGTCTAGACCCTACGGATTACCTTGTATGTGGAAGTGTCATCCAAAGCCTGCATTAGATTTTCTACATAACTTAACCTATCCATAACCACCACTGCTTCTCCTTCGTCTGTCCTCGTCGTCCGGTTTCATTATGATGTTTTTCACTTTTTTCCTGGGTGTTATTTCTATATGAATATCAATTAAAGGAACGATATGTAATTCAATATCACCCCTGGTCTCTTCTGGAAGGTGGTTGGTAAAACTTATGAGTTCCACCATAATCTCCTCCCTCCTCCTCCTTACTGTTTGGCGAATCAAAGTTCGAACCTTCCAAGAGCATTTTCTCGGTGGTAATATCCAAGGCACAAATCTACAACCACAGCTCCAAGGCAACCTTCCTACAGCCTCCGGTGGAACCAACTTACGAATCCCTTCCAATCGCCTCTTCAAACGAAATGAAAGGTATTCCAACATGAATCTATTAAGGGATTCTTTGAAACCCGGTTTTTATAGATATCACATTATTTACTTTCTATGTCTCATCTTCATTTATCTGCCACTACTTTGCTAATTGCTCTATATTGCACTATGATGGATCTAAAAGCAATTTATTATTTCCTATATCATTCATTCAAATAATTCTGTATATTATTTTATTGGAACGTATTTATATTTTTTTCAGTTTCAGATAGCAGATTCATTTTCTTTGAAACTACCGTCGTTTCAGCAATTTGGAGAAACATCTTCACAGGACGGTCTTAATTCATTCGCTTCTATCGTTCATCTTATCACAAACCTCGTTTCTGACTTGCTAAGCATAGGTGATCCGAGCGATTGTCGCCCAGGAGGAGCGGCTGCCGGGTCTAATGTTATTCCTTCTTCTACATCAGATGGACTCAAGGAACAAATTGAGCATCCTCTTGTCTCTCTTCCTCGGATATCACCAATCTTTGCAAATTCATTCTTGGCCGCTATCTGTCTTGCATATGGTTACGCAGAGATGGGAAGTAAGTCTTCATATTTTCCACTTTATGTGCTGGTCTATTTCTTTTTAAATTGAATTTACATCCTTTTTCTGCGATCTAGATTCCCCAACCTAATGAAAAATACTTCTTCAGTTTTACAAATAATCGTTTTAGTTCTCTTTCATTCTACACAGAGCACAGGACATCCGTTTAATCTCGTCTTAGGAGCCGAGTTTATTAGACTTCCGATTCCATCCAAGTTTTTAGTGTACGTTGCTCATCTCAGTGCTTATTTATGTAATATGTAGAAACTAAGCAGCAAGAAGAAGAATAAACGAACTTTATTTTGTTACAGCTAAGTTTCAGCTTTATAGTGAAATTTAACGCAACTACATAAAATGCTCACCTAGTTAAACAGGTCCACTTTGCTAATTCTTATTTTAGCAAGAATGAATAATTATTTCCTACGAATCTGTAGTGGAACCAAAAAATGATTGCTGGTGTAATGTCAAAGCTGTAGTGTCCTAGGACCAAATTTTAATGCTTTTACGAGCTTTATGCTCTAACACCTCTTCCCCTTTTAAAATTTAAATTCGTCGTATTTGGTAATCAGATGATATTATTGTGTTTACCAGAAATAACTTTGTACCTTTACTATAAGTGTGGTATGAGAGGGGCCTGGCTCAACAGTGGTGACCTGTTGAGATTACACTGCACTACCCGGGTTAGATTCTTGATGGGAGTGCTGTTCTGACCTAGGCGAGGTCGAACTTACAGTCAATTCTGGATTATAATGCCTTTGTGGAAACAAAGTTTTGTGGGATTTAATTAAAAGTGTGAGACCCACTCATACCATTGTGGGAAAATTTAAGTATTGTTTCTTTTTAATATGCGACATAGGGTGACTCCAACTCTTGTTTAAGAGTTACCGATAGTTTTGAAACCTACTTTATATAGACGAAAGCTTCTTCCACTTACATAAACAATCATTTATACTGTACATTGTGGTCAATTTTCGATGAGGACCCTTTTTGATTAATAGAGCATTGCAATTCTAATTA